GGGCATCAAGGGGCACACCTGTAATCTTAGTGGCTCTGGAGGCTGAGGCAGGAGAATCATGAGTTCAAAGTCAGCCTCAGCAACTTAGCAAGGCCCTAAGCAATTCAGTGAGATCCTGTCTCTAAATAAAATACAAAAAGGGTTAGGGATGGCCCTGAGTTCAATCCTTGGTACCAAAAATAAATAAATAAAAATTTTAAAAATGAAAACACTAGAATGAAAAGTAGTTATCATCACTAAAGCAGATAATTGAGGGGTGGTTCTTAAAGAAAAATAGAAATACCCACCAGATAAATAAGCTCTATGGTCATAGTTTTCTGTTCAGGTACAAAATGTTACATTTCCTTAAAATGAAAGAATATTGTTTCTAAAATTCAAACATAGCATGATAATCCATGGTGTCACATTATATTTAAATAATTTGAGATTTAATTTGTCTAAGACTTTAAAAATACTTGGTGGTCACACACAGTGGCATGATGGGACCTGTAATTGGGGCTACTCTGGAAGCTCAGGTAGGAAGATAACTTGAGCACAAGAATTGAAGACCAACCTGGGCAACATAGCAATACCCTAAATCAAATATTTCAGAATTCTCTACAGATTAATGTAGAAGAGTGGTTGCTTTTCTTGAGAACTCAGATTCCATTTTCAACCTTTCAAAAATTCTAAAAAGTATTAGATATCCATCTGAGATAAAGCTCTGAAGGATATGCTAAAAAAAACCCACATTTTTTTTTGCTTCAATTCACATAACATAAAGTCCTATATGTCAGACACTGTGGTTTTCAGTTACAAATATTTAATTAAGAAAAATACCAATTTTGGCACAGGGATGTAACTGAGTGTATAACATGCACAAGGTCCTGGATTCAATCCAAACAAATAAAATTAAGGAAGAAAAATATGCATTATGACTTGCATAAATAGCACACTAACATGGTTAGAAATCAAAACAAGATAAGATACACAGTGAGATGTCTTGCTATCAACCCTATCCTCATCTATGCTTGGCTACTACACCTCTATTCTATTCAATGTAAGTGTATTTTCCTACATATCTTTTTAGTATAGTTTTATACAAAAATAAGGACCTATTCTTATTCTCCCCCTTTTATAAAAAAAAAAGATAGCATATCATCAACACTCTTTTTCATTTTGTGCATTTCACTTTACAATACATCCTCCAAAACTTGTTGCATTCCTTTGTGTAAATGTATCATAGCTTTTTTAAAAATCAGTTTCCTAATGATGAATACTTGGCAGTTTTCAATGTTTTACTGCAATGAATATTTCTATATAATTTGTTTATGTACATACATATCTGTAGGATAAATTCCCAAAAGTGCTACGGTTGTGATTTAGATTACTGCAATCACACTGCCCTCTACCGGGAATATATCATTTTGCAATTGAGCCAAGGATGTATGAGTGACCCAGTTTTCCCAAGGACTTATAATATCCTTTTAATTTACAAAAATAGTTGGTTTGATAAATAAATATTCAAAATATTGAACTAATGGAGAGGGTGGGTGGGTGTGGAGGGAGATAATAAATCGATCCTTAAATGAAAAAGTTTAGAATATTTGATGTAGAAAAATAGTAACTTGAATGTGTTTTACTCACTCGTTCCTTAATCTTTTCAGTCAGGAATGGTTTAATCATGGAAAAGACAGCATGAAAAATTACTGGCTCATTTATCAAATGGATGCCACGAACTTTCAATGGAAAGGAATCCTTTGGAAAATAAAGAAAAAAATCATCTTATTGAAA